GTGTTTCAAATTTTTTTTCGCATTTTGTAGCCTTCACTTAGACGCATCTTTTAACATCTCAATCAACCACGTAGTCCCAAAATCCACGACACCAGGGCGATGTCGCACTTTCACTGAAAATCGGGCCTATACTGAAGCGACAAAAAAAACATTTCCAATGTTAAAAAAAATAAGTGTATTTCTGTATTACCAATATTTAATAAACAAGTAAAATTTGTTGGATTTTTCGCAAAGGAATTTGTTGTCAAAGTTTGTTAATGTTATCGAATCAATACAAAAAAATAACCAATTACTTATGGTTATTATTATTTATGTCCTAATATCGACGATATACCTATTCAGGTCAATCAAACAATATTCATTTGGTTCCAAGAAGATAGATTTCATATATAATAGAAACGCTAATACAGTAATCTTATAAATCAAAATTACCTAGCGCTACGATACCGCCCGTTGAGATAGGCGCGGCGGCGAGTCACATGAAATCAAGTTATTGACTTCGAATTAAATTATGCTACCTATCCCCCATAAATAAATACCACTCGTAAGAAATCAAATTACTCAAGTAAGCAATTAAGTTTTAAAACATTCATATTAAATGAAAAGTGTATCTAGATATTCTGCACTATATATCTAAGTTCGATTAAAAAAACCACATTTATTAAGTTGTAGTTTCTTTATTGAAGTTATTCAAGATTTAAATGGAAATTATTTTTATAATCTAGTTTAAATTACAATAAAAGTTGCATCTACTATTAGTATCTCTTATTATTACAAAATACTAAGCTCTGTAATCAGTAATCACCCATGACGTAATACACACTCGTATATTTATTGTAAGTACAGTAATAACATAAAAGTGAGAGCCAATTTTGAAAATAAAAAACTTTTAACGAAGTTGTCAATTTATAATTGAAGGTACAAACAGTGAAATGTTTAAATGGATCACTGATTTCATCGTTCGTTATTTTTGTGTTAGGTTTCTGGGTTAACATTTTTTTTCTTTTGTATTATTTTATTTATGTTTTTAATTAAGATTTAGGGTTATCTCCAAGCTCACACTAAAATAACACACAGAAGCCAGCCGATACAAATCAAAACACATCGATTTCAAAAATATCTGATTAGGTATCTATAGTAAACGAAGACTACCAATTAGGTTTTTTTTACATTTTAGTGTTTTTAAGTCGGTTTTTATGATTTAAAAAAAGTTTTTATTTTTCCATTTTTAGCGTAGACATAGTACATAGTAGTAAAATAAGAAGAAAGTATTTAAAAAATTCAGTAGGTGAAAGACCATTTATCCCCTATTTTCTACACTTAGGGGTGGATGTTTTTTTAAATTAAAACGGGACCAACTTTGAGTTACGAGTTCGATAAACAAAGAGTTGTCAAAATCGTACTACACTGTAAAAAGTTATGCGTGGTTAAACATACAAATTTATAAACAAAATAATCGAGTTGAATTGAAAACCGCCTCCTTTTTTTCGTCGGTTAAAAATGACTTTTTTGATGAATGAAGCTGTCATTGAATCTTCATATTCTGTTAAAGGAATACTATAATCCACCTATCATATTCAATTAGTTCTAAGTAATAGTCTATTTTTTATTTTCTTTTTCCGATATGACAAATAAGTCATCATTCAAATATTGTTGAAGCTGTATCTAATTTATATAAACAATGTTAACTTTAAATCTCGTACTTTGTGATTCAATAGTACGTCGCACAGGTAAATTTAACTTAATTCTATACATCAAAGGGGTCGTGACAGCAATATTCAATAAGCTTGGACCTAACTTCTATCTAGGGTTGTTAGAAGACCAATTTTAAACTTCTAGTAAAGCTGATATAAGTTAACACAATATATTATGCATCTAACATAATATGAAATTATTTTGTAAATATTCGTATTATTTAAGAACGAATAAACACTCAAGTGTCTAGTGCTTTACACGTTTTACTAATTTGAGATAAAAGGTAGTCTAGACTCTAGTCCACATTTTGAAGTGAAACTTCTTTAGAATTGTTGTAATCTGAAATTCGATGTAATGGAAATGCGACCCTAGAAAGAGGACACATAAATATATAGGACTAAACCGGCGAGAGAATGAGATAGAATAAAACCTATTGACTAATTGTTGCCATGGTAACCGTTGTTTAAAAGTTCCACTTCTACTGCATGTGAACTGCGCTCGTTTTAATAAAAAAAATTATATGGGAAGAACTATCAAGTATTATATGTTTATGTATTTCAATTTTATCTCTTTCTAATTATGAGCCCACATCACGCTATTAAGACTGGAGAGGTATTGACTGACTTAATATTTACATAATATTATGTATTTGTATACTAGATAGAAATATGATAAAATATTAAGGGTGCATTTCATGAGATCTACCAAAATGATTTTCGGTATACTTAGATAAAATAAAATTAAATAAATGTCTTATCGTAATGCAAGAAAGTTAAAATAATAATAAGCGTAGACAGGATTATTCCTGAAATCAGAATCCTTCCCCATCTCCATCTCACTTTTCTTTTTTCTTCCTTCTTGTCCAAGATTGTAGGACGTAGTGTAGGTACGAGTAGTAGGTACATTTCCAACTTAGCACTATCTTAAGTAAATATTTTGTTTCCTTGGCTTTTATCTTACTGATATGGAGCTACTTGATATTTTGATAATCGATTTAAACTTAACGAATTTGTTTATTTTTTCAATTAACCTATACTTTGCATATTAATTGAACTGGAACAATCTATTGTGTACGATTTCAAAGCTTTCATGCTATAGAGTAACATTTTTTAATAATTACTACGATAGAAATAAACTTTCTGAAGTGAAGTTGAAGTGTTTACACTTCAGTTTAGTTTACTAAATATACACTACGATTGCACTGTGCTGTTTCCGTCACTATAAATTCTTTCAGTTATCCGCAAAGTTTATCCGCCGTAGAGATTACTTCTAGCATAAAGCCGCCTAGGCACGCCTTACGTACCTATTCTTTCGAACAAAAGCTGTTTGTATTGTAAATATTTTGTCATTTCACAGTACAAATAAAGAAAAAAAAAATCAAAAACTTTTCATTTGAAATTGTAAGTGTCTATATCTATCAATCATATAAATTTTTTTTTATTTGCTTCAGTCTAAGGCCTTCTGAATCTAGAGTCCTACTCGCAATTATCTCGTTTTCAGATCACATTTGGCAATGATAACATGTTTTAAGGTTTCTTTTTACTTCCAGAATATTATATAGGTATTTTAAAAGGGTTGTAGAAATAAAATACTTTGTTGCATCTATGCTCGTTACTTTCCGATTAAATCACTAGTCATTGCCACAATTATGACCAAAGCGATTGATTATATTATAAGTAGGTATCTACGTAGTACTTAATTATTTTTATACAAATAAGTGTGAACCTTCTCTTCCTCCCCTCTTTAAGCTCTTTAACCTTCCCTCTTTAAGCAGATATTTTTAATTGATAATATAACCCAAATGTGTATGTGTTGAGCCGTTTAGCAAGGGAATGATATATTAAGAAACAAAGAAAATTTTATTAAAAAAATAGCATTGCCCACGGCTCCGCCCGCGTTCAGATGACCAAAAACCAAATTCTTAGATTTTACATTTCGTATACTCTTACATTGCAGTTTTTGTATTTTTCTCAGAAATGAGATATTTTTCCGCGGTAAAAAGTATCCTATATGTTGACCCGGATAACCCGCTATTACCATACCAAATTTCATCAAAATCCCTTCAGTGGTTTTTCTGTGATGCGGTAACAGACAGACACACAGATAGATAGACAAACAAAAATTCTAAAAACTATAGATTCGGCGTCTGTATCGATAATAATGTTTATTTCAATAAGATTTTCCAAAAAATATTTAATGTACAGATTCGACTCAGAATTTTATTATATGTATAGATGGAAATCAAACATCATTAAGACAAACATTAAATTTATTCAATGACTAGATCTGTAAAGAAAATAATTTAACATTTTACAGATAAATACGCGTACACTTAGTTACTCTCTATTAGCAGTTGTGGATTTAGGTTCGCTGGCGCTGTAGGCCCAAGTCGATATGGCGCCCTTTTTTTCGTAACAGTATATATAGATTCATTTTTTGTAACAAAGAAATTCTACCCTTGACATGGATGGACTATGTTTAGATTGTAAGAGCGCAAGAAAACAAACGTTAAAATTTGGTTTTTTTGGCGCCCCTCAAAATTTGCCGCCCTAGGCCCGGGTCTCACGGGCTTAAGCGTAAATCCGCTACTGTCTATTAGATGAATAATTATAATACCTACTAGTTAATAAAAGGAATACAGAAATACGGAACGGTACTTTGATAAAAAAATTTGGACAGAATATATTTTTTTATTGTGTTCTTTCATAGCAGTTATCAAAGATATAGAAAAAAAAACAGTATTTTGAAAGAAAAATTGTACATTGTACCTGCACTTTTGTACCGACAAATAAGTTAAATAAAGATTTAAGATTAAGTATTTCTGTTCTAAAACTGAAGATCCTATTAAATATCTTAATAATTATATTCAAATATAATGGTTTATATTAAGAATAGATAATAAAATAAAGTGTTATATTAAGTATAAAATATTTACCTTCAACATTTACGACGAGAAAAGACGCTTTTAAAATGTTGAATTACTTACGCTGTTAATTCGACACGAATGTTACTTTGCAATATATTGTTATCGAAAAGCATAGAAATTTATTCAGTAGAAACTCGCATCAAAGGCGAAATTACGTGACCTTTTAATTTAAACGTATAGGTATGCCCGATAAAAAAATAAATGCTAATACAATAAAATCTTATTATTTATGTATAGAATAGAAGTAAATTTGATTAGGTAATAACAATAATAGTCGACCTAATTCCATTACATATTGAATTAGATTTATTTACATCATATTGTAACATTTTTGTGTATCGAGAGAAGAAGACTGGTAACAGACGCGTCGGTTGGTTCACTTGCGGAAGCAGGAGATGGGATTGAAGTAGCACTGCCGGAAGCGGACTTGCCTTTTGTCGGCGCGCCACTGTCGAGCCAGCCTGCCGTCCATCGCTCGCAGCCCCCACCCACGCGGCTCAGCCTGCGGCCATGAACGACCTACACGTCCCAGCCTGGACATATTGAAATTTCGTTTATATTTAGGTTTCTGTAAGCTACAATTAATGCCTTTCAATTAGATCCTTGTCATACATTTAATATCCAATGTCTTAATATTGGGTATACATAAGACATTAAATGTATGAGAAAAGTTTATATATCCATATTAATATTATAAAGACGTTTTGTACGAGGGATTATCCCCTACATACAAACTTACAAAGTTTACGTTCAGAGATTACTGAAAGTACTGATTCAATTCTGAAAATTCTTCCACAAGATGAAGCTACGGCCGAATGCTATTTTTATTGTGATAAAAATATGTTTCATGTCAGAACTATAATAACTTTAATTGAAGTCGGTATTAAAGGCTCCTATGAACGCACACGAGGGAAGCAAGGTTTATTTTTCAAGCGATTTGAGATAAGGCAGGGACAAGCAATATTTCTACTCTTTATTGGAAAAATTAACCTATTTCTTAAATTTGACCGACAATTTGACCGTCATGTTCAACTATGGGCCTTCAACTGGCATGTTGTAAACGGAGTTAAAGGGTTATTTCGATACTTAAAGTTAGGAATGGTTAGTATGTCCGGAATCTACTTTCTTTTTAAATCACTAAATAGCATCGTTATATAACAATAGCACTTTACAGTAGAAAACAGTAAATCTTTTTAATTTTCCTGCAACTTCATATTTATCTATTATTGTTATATTATGTCTGTAATGTAGACGTAGTACAGTATCTCATTGTGATGTCTAATATAATGGTTGTAGAAATCTCTCTGTTAATTGAAATAAGATCTCGCTGAATAAAAGCGAGCAATTACAAAAGGACATGCAATTACTATGCAAAGCAGTTGCAAGCTCGAATAGAAAAGTACTTTGTATGTTAGAGTTAACCTTCTTTCGAACGAAATATACCAATAATGTTAGTTATCATTTTAAAACGCACCGTAACTTGTAAAATATTTGAAAGTTTATTTATTACCTATACAAATTAAGTTTTAAAACTATACTATATATATACTAAATGTGTAATATGCTGTACCTCTCATCAGCATCCAATTGCAGTAGTAGCTTACGTAGTGCGGCCGTGTTCAGAGCGTCCCATGGCTCAGAGATATCGGCTAGATCTTCAGGGCGCGCAATCATTGAATTGTCAACTTGTTCGTCTTCTGACTCCTAAATGATTAAATATATATATATATTATATATATATTTATATATATACACTAATAAGCAGTATATATATATGTATACAAGTATATATATATATATATTTATATATATACACTAATAAGCATTTTAAGCATAAGTTACAAAGTGCTAATATTTTTAAGAAACTTGCAACCACTCCGGCTTGGCTAGCGCAATAATGACGCACGTATAAATAAAGGTATAAGGTACATAGTTATACATACTATAACCTATAAATATGCGTATTTTTGTTATATAATAATAACATTTATAATAACATTATATATTACATGCCATCTTTTCAGGCGTACTTAAATTTTAATAATAGACATGTACGATATAATCATGCTTGCATAAATAGAGGAACATAGATAATCCATTTAATAAAATAATGTAAATGTACCTACATCACTTTTTATATACAATACAGACTGAACACAAAAATTCTAAAAGCTGAGAAATATGGTAGGTATAATGATGGCAATAGGTAGAGAGATTTAGATTAAAATTTAAAGTTGTCTGATATATTACATATTAATTTGTATATTTATACCTATGCAGGTACTTCTGGTAAATGTGTTAGCAATATACAATTTTTTTTGTTGAATAATTTTAAATGTAAGTTGTAAAATTGAATATAATAATTACCATTGGTGCTGCGACGGCGGTCGTCAACAGCGCAGCGAGAATACCCATGACGATCATCAGGCTGCTATTGTACGTGTTCGAGTTCATCGTAGGTTTAACTGCCTGTGAGGATATGAATATATTACATAAATAGTACTAGAATTACTTTAACTACCACAGTAAATATTGTTACATAATTATCCATTTTAATTAATGTGTAATAAGGCACTTTATATATGGTTAGTGGTCTGTGTTGTTAGTGAATGCGGGAGCAGCTGCAACGGTATTTACCTAAGTCTAAATGACAAATAGGGGGATAAAACGTAGGATACGAGTTAACTTAATTAGTTTATGTCCTTTTCTTAAGTATTAGGTATGCATTCCTATACATATATCGTTTTTAAACTTAACGTTTTCAAACTAATTTAATTGCTAAAAAACCTATTTTTTATATATGTATCTAACTACTGAAACTATGCTGAATATTAACAAACTAAGGCAGAAGATAAGAAGTTTATTACAGAAATTTTTATCTAGATTGAGAATTATGACAAAACAAAAGTGACTTTTATTTAACAGTGCTATTTCTTATTAGTACAAATATAGGTACAAATACAGGTCAAAGACAACCCTAATTTTGGGCTTCACCGCAATTGAAAAGAATGATAAAGTAATAAAGGCATTAAGGCACAGATTATGTATGTACATACGTAAATTATATGACAATTATTACTAATAGGTACTAGTATAAATACCTTGATATTTATTTAAATAACTGGGAGAACCCGCGGCTTCGCTCGCGCTAAAACTACAAAAAAATCTCTAAAACGGTTCCATAGAAACTTTCATCCCCTTTTTTTAACGTTGGGAAATGCATTTACGCACAATGTGTGGGACTCACCGGCGTAATACAACCAGTACTACCCACTAAAACCCAACAAAACCTTCCCCCGTCTTAATGGGGCGTCGCAGGATCGCTTACGCATTCAACTACGACGCCCCGACGGCAGGTCTGCCAAAGCAGACCACCACAACCATGGGGTTGCTCCAAGGTCCACTCTGCTATCAGAGAAGTACCAGGAGCAACCCGCAAGGTACACCGCCCCCCGAAGAGAGGGCCACCTCCCACCGCCCACCGAAGTGGGCAACCTCCCTGTGCGTTTCTTGGCTTCGCTACTACTACTGAGCCCCCCCACCACGACAAGGTGAACGCACGTTGGGGGGGAAACTTTCATCCCCTATTTTAACCCCTTATAGGATGAATTTCGAAAAATGCTAAAACACGTATTTATTTAATTTTATTGAAGAGGATTAATACCAAGTTCCAAGTAATTCTGATCATAAATATTTTTTTGGATTTTATTATAACGTGTTTTCCCGTGGGAATGAGATAATCTCTCGCGGTAAAAAGTAGCCTATCTTACTCTCCAGCCCTCTAACTATCTCCACATAAAAAATCAGGTCAATCCGTCACTCCATTTCGACGTGAAAGAAGGACAAACAAACAAATAAACACACTTTCACATTTATAATATTAGTATGGATGTACTGAGAACACATACTCTGATGGGCAAAATATACTCGTATACGTATGTGTTCATTTCATATACTATATGCATATTTAATTCCTTAAATTCCCGAAACTATGTCAGGCATTCCATCTAGCGTAGGTAATCCTTTGATTTTAAGATTTTAAGGTAGTTTAACTTAAGGTTTAAGGCTCCATTCAGGTATAACATTAATTATCAACGTGTAATAAATACGACTATTGTCAATTAACTAATATTGTTTACCTCCATGGACCATGGCTCATATACATGAATAATAAAAAAACTTAATTACAAACATAATATACAATCTGTTGATTACTATCATATGTTTTGTAATTTGTAAATAAAGTTTTAAAATATAACTCCAATAAATAAATACGCACGCGGAATTATTTGTTAGTACTTTTTAGGATTTTGGTGCTTCAGTAGACGTATGTATATATCTATATATGTACATATATAGATATCGTTGGGATCCCTTGGGTTATTGAAATTTAAAATGTTTAAACTCTGGTCTATTTTATAAAACCCAATAGTTATATTAATAACAACAGCATTGCCATTCACATACTGTAATATAATATAGTACATGTAGTCAATGTAAACGGAAAGAATCTCTAAGTAAATATTCAATCTAAATAGTGCATGTTGAAATAAAAGAAAGGCGCCATGTGTGAAAACCTTCGGGATTGCTCTGAGCAGTCCGATGGAAAGTCATTTGTTTTTTATTACATTGTTTCGACGTTTATATCTAAATTATGTGATCACGTGCTTTATAAATTGACTAGCACATTATTTTATATTTATTGTTATTGTTATTCAGAAGTTTTAGGTGTATCTATTTGTTACACTTGATATAGATACACTTACACTATAGGGAATACATGTGTAACTTAATATTTTTATACAGCCAAACATTGTCTTAAATATATGTATATCGACAATTGATTACTTACTATATCTGTAATAAAAACTTTTCTGTATATAATATGCATTAGAGCATGAGAATTATTGAGAGAGTATACACGAACCTCGAACTCAGGACCTCCGAGTGTGCAGCCGTACATGCTAGCCACTACACCACCGAGGTAGTTCAGAGTGCTAGAGTATATCACATACTCGTATGACAGTTTATATAGGAAACTTTGCCTTATTCAAAATCAGAGCGTTTCTTCAGTTTACTTGTGCCAACTAAATTAAAAATATGGTTATTCATTAGGTGATAAAAGAATTAATATATGAATTTCAATTACGAGTAGTTTTCAAAACATTTCATATAACATCCATTCAGTGTTGCTCTTTTATGGATACAAAAGTAATATATACCACTCATGTAAATTTTCATACATATACATTGTACATACTTCTTTATAAGTTCTGTTAAAACAAGTTAAGAGGCTTTGACGATTAGTCCTTACTAATACCTAAAAAAGTTACATGAATTTGGTATTGTAAATATTACAAACAAACCTGCTAAATAAAAAGTTGACTTGAGATATATTTTTACACACATTTATAAACTTTTATTGTATTTTAACTTTTTGAATTTGTTGAACATATTTCAAACAACATATTCTTTAGAAAATGTGAGAAAATGATAAAAAGCTAACGTTTTGCGTCTTTGTATGGGAAGTCCCATGAGGAGGCATATCACAAAACGCGGTACACCAGATTCGCCTTGACACATAATTGGATATACGAGATGCTATTTATCAATGAACCCTTCAGTATACAAGGACACATTGTAATGTTCATCAAATTTCCTATACGTATGTACATACAAAAGAATAGTCGAGTTTATATAATACTAACATACTAGTGGAAAAATGAAAATGAAATGATGAAAAATACTTGAAAAATAGATACTTCCTTTTATAAAATTTCTTGTCCGCAATTTTTTGTGTACATTTCATTCAAATTATTGAACAAGTGTTAATATTTTTTAATTATTTCGCTTATTTACGATTTAAAGATTTCTATATTTTATTTTCACCGGTTCAGTAGTTTTAAAGATACAATTTGAGCATAACAAGCTTTTCGATCCAAAGTGTAAAAAACAAGGCTTGTAATGAGAGAGGTCGACCTATGACATGGTCTTACTAAACCGTAGCTAGTACATCCATACTTTTTAACATTATAAATGTAAAAGTGTATTTGTTTGTTTGTTTATTTGTGTTTGTTTGCTTGCTTGCTTGCTTGCTTGTTTGTTTGTTTGTTTGTTTGTTTGTTTGTTTGTTTGTTTGTGTGTTTGTTTGTCCTTATTTCACGTCGAAATGGAGTGACGGATTGACCTGATTTTTTTATGTAGAGATAGTTGGAGGACTGAAGGGTGACATAGGCTACTTTTTACCGCGGGAGATTATCTAATTCCCACGGGATAACACGTTATAATACAATCCAAAAAAATATTTATGATCAGAATTACTTGAAACTTGGTATTAATCCTCTTCAATAAAATTAAATAATACATGTTTTAGCATTTTTCGAAATTCATCCTATAAAGGGGTAAAATAGGGGATGAAAGTTTGTATGGAACCTTTTTTAGAGTTTTTTTTGTAGTTTTAGCGCGAGCGAAACCGCGGCTTCTGCTAGTAATATATAACAATATAAAATCAAAAAATATAGAGTAAAAAAAAAAAAAATAAAAAAAAAAAAAATCTTATTGAAATAAACATTATTATCGATACAGAAGCCGAATCTATAGTGTTCAGAATTTTTGTCTGTCTGTTTGTTACCGCATCACAGAAAAACCACTGGAGGGATTTTGATGAAATTTGATATGGTGATAGCTGGTTATCCGGGTCAACATATAGGATACTTTTTACCGCGGGAAAATGTCTCATTTCTGAGAAAAAATACAAAGCGGCATTGTAAGAGTATACTAATATGTAAAACCTACGAATTTGGTTGTTAGTCATCTGAAAGCGGGCGGAACCGCGGGCAATGCTAGTATTATTATAATTTTTAAATGGTTATAATGCCTGAAAATAAGATTATTATCATTGATAATAATAATTTATCAATATAATAAAATTTGTGGAACACGGTGTACATAAAAATATATATCTCTTTTAATTGTTCCAATAACGGTAATATAAAACAATCAGTTTTTTAAATAAAATTCTGAAAATCAAAAATAAATAAATAAAATTGTTTAGGCAGATTTTAAAAGACTTTGATGGCATTAATATGCAAAGATAATCAACTATAAAAAATAAGGCAAATCATTTTACCATAAATGTCGTTTGGGATGCAAATGGTTTATACAACGCGTATATACTATAACCCGCTTTAACGAGTTTTTTGTATCTAATTTTACTATAGATTGAAGATGGAATACATCAACCAAATTTTGTTTTCGTAAATGCATATACAATTAGATATACGTAATGGGATGGATTACGTAAACGATTCCGTATTACAATCCGGATTTGGGCAATGGAATATCGTAATATAATTAAAATATATTAATTTTTCATTATTTTTACCATCGTATTTATTAGTTAAACCGCTAAATGATTTATGAAGAAACTGGGTTCGTCCCTAGATACGTTTTAATGGTACTAACCAAGC